TCATGGGGTTGTTCTAAATGTCTTGACGGAACATACATGTACAATGGTGAGTGTTATTTATGTTCAGATAATTGTATGAATTGTATATGGTCAAATATTTGTAGCTCTTGTGACTATGGGAAAGTATTGAGAAATGGAAAGTGTATACCATTAGAAGCTGTTGTTAATTGTATAGAAACATCAAATGGTAAATGCTCTAAATGTTCATTAAATTATAAACCAACCAAACTTGGAGATTATTGTGAATTTCACTTAAATGTTTTAATTGTTATTCTTCCAATTATTGGATTTATTATTATTTTAATTGTCATTCTTTGTATGGCTATTATTCTCATTAATTCTATTACTAGATACACTGCAAATAAACAACGAGAAAAAGAATTTACTTCATTCAAAATGTCTAGTTCATCAATTCATTTTGTTCCATTATCAAATGGAAGCTGTTTGACAACAAGTATGAGCGAAATAAACTTTACTGAAAATAATGTAATTCCTGTAGGACAAGAAACTAAAACATTATTATGTATTGGAAATACAAATAAAGCTATAATGAAAGTACAAATTACTAATAAAACTGATTGTGAAAGTAAATATGGAATAAGAAGTGAGCCACAACTTGCTTTTATAAAACCAGGAAATGCAGTAGAGTTTAATTTATTTGTCAAGCCATATTGTACTTGTAAAGTTGATGATCCTATTCTTATTGTTTCTTCAGATGTTAAAAAGAGTAAAGAAAAAACGTATCAACTTCATGTAATATTTGAAACAGAATTAACATCACTATTAGATTATGATGAACTTAAAATTGATAAAAAACTTGGAGAAGGTGCATTTGGCATTGTTTTTAAAGGAGAACTGAGAGGAAATAAAGTAGCAATTAAACAAATGAAGAATATGGCAGGTGATAGTGAAACAATTGAAGAATTTGAGAAAGAAGTGATGATGTTAGATAAGTTTAGAAGTGACTATATCATTCATTTTTATGGAGCAGTATTTATTCCAAATAAATATTGCATGGTAACTGAATATGCAGAATATGGATCAATACAAGATTCAATTCATAAATATTCCAAAGACAAAAAACCTGGACATAAATTAAGAATAAAATTTATGATAGATGCTGCAAAAGGAATTGAGTATCTTCATTCAAATGGAATATTACATCGAGATATTAAACCAGATAATATTCTTATTGTATCAGTTAATCCTAATACTTTAGTTAACGCTAAACTTACAGACTTTGGGTCATCAAGAAATGTTAATATGATGATGACAAATATGACATTCACAAAAGGAGTTGGAACACCAATGTATATGGCACCTGAAGTTCTGGATCAAAAGAAATATAAAATGCCATCAGATATCTTTTCATTTGGAGTTAGTTTATTTGAAGCATATATATGGAATACTCCATATCCTATTGAAAAGTTTAAATATCCATGGGATATAGCACAATTTATTGGTTCTGGTAAACGATTAGAAAAGCCAAATAAATGCCAGAGTGGATTTATTACATAATAAATAGGTGTTGGGATGAAGATCAAACAAAACGACCTGAAATTAATACTGTAGTAAGTGAATTAGAAAATGGATATAATAATATGTGAAAATGAAATATAATAAAATTAAATTATTGATAAAGTGAATTAATATAATTTCTAATTTAAATTTTTATTTTTTATCATATCTTTTTTAAAATTGAACTGGAAACATAATTCTTAGATGGACACTATTCATCAAAACAACCCAAATACACAGCTTCCACATACTGCTACACCACTTACACTTATGAGTGAAGAAGAAAAAAAACTAAAATATTTCAAGACCCAATTATTTCAACCAGAATTTACTGACGAAGCATATTCAATGAATATGACCAACATAACAAAATTAATATTTGGAAAAAAAGATCCAGAAACAAGTCTAATTGAATCAGCTTTTAAAGAGTATACTAACACAGTAGACTCAAATAAACAAAGATTAATTGAAATTGATAAAATGATATTCAAAATTAGGACTTATCTTCATCTTCCTAGAAATACAGAACAAGACATTATTCTTAAAAAAAAAATAGAAAAATATTTAAATAAAATTAATGAAAATAAAGAAGCAAAAGAATTTAAATTAAAATTTGACGAATATTCTAAATTAGCATCTTGTCAAAATATTGGAAAACTTCCTATTGAACAACAAAAAAAAGTTATGGAAGCAGTTTCATTTCTTTGGGCTTATGAAAGAGATAGAAGAAAACAAATTGAAATATGGGAAGAAGATATTGGAAAAATATATGATTGTTTATCTATGGATACAAATTATTATACTAAAATAGATTTAAAAGATCAACTAAAAACATTAAAACGTATTTATGAAAGATTTTTTACTTCTGAAAATTATGAAGAAGAATATGAACATGCGATTAATATGCAAAAGAAAGTTTGGAATTTAAATAATACTACTAAGAAATATCTATTGAAAATTACTTCTTTACTCTTCTCTATTAAGTTAATTCCAAAAGAATATAATCATTTATTATTATCAATAGTAGAATCATATAAACAACGTATTAAGCAATTACATCATATTTATGTAAAATGTTATAGTCTTGCTCAATACCAATGGTCATTAATAAGTAATAGAACTTATTACGATGCTCATTCAGTATCAACACAACTTTATAATTTTCGTATATCATTAAAAGAAATTAATATAGAATTAACTGAAATCTATTATAATGTTTGGCGTATTAAAGAACGTATTCTTTGTATTGGTACATCAAGACAACATGCTATAGAAAATATGGAAAAGAAAATTCAAACATTGAATGAAGAATTTGATGTATTACAAAAGTCACTTGGAACAAAATATATAGAAGAAAATAAAATATGTAGTGAAGAAAATATTCAAAAAACAGTTATTTTAAAACGTAAAATTGGACAAATGCTATTAAATACTGATAAAGTATTTACTGATTCTGATCGTGAAGCAAAAATTAAAGTTGAATTAAGTAATTTGACTTCAATTGAAAAGGGTTGTAAAAAAAGATGTGACATCCTTAATAAAATGATTAAAGGAGAAAAGGAATTAAATCCAGTTGATGATGTGTCTATATTCATTGAATATGAATTACTTGATGTAGAATTTCTTTCTATTATGAAGTTTTGTAGAGGAGATCCAATCTACATAGAAAGTTCAAGTGAAAGCTCTGAAACATCAAGTGGTTCTGTAAATTCAATAAATGATAATTGTGATGGATCTGTTATTATGGAGAAAAAAGAAGACTTAACTTCATCATCTGAAGACTCTGATTCATCTGTAAATTGTAATGAAGAAAGTGGTTCTATTGTTATTAAGAAAAAGAAAGAAGATTCAACTTCATCGTCTGAAGATTCTATTGTTCAAATTTAACATAAAAGCCATTCAGAATTGTATAAAGATGTGTAATACCTTAATAACAATTTTGATTAATTTAATTTAATTAATAAAACTCGTTTGAAGTTTAAGTTAATGGGTAACTACCAATATTGTTTTATCAACCAACTCTTATTATCTTAATTATAATAAAATAAGACAAGAAATGAAAACCAAACAGACTTTTTATTTAGATAAAAATTATGAGATCAATTTAGATTAACATCAAAACGATAGCTGAAATAAAAAGAACAGTTAACAAAGAAGAACCACAAATAACTCTTGCCTTTTGTCCTTCACCAAATAAATATTGGTCATCATCATAATTGTAAACATTTTCATCTTGACATGTCATTTTTTGAGTAAGGTAACTATCATCACAATGGTCATCAGAGTATCGTTTAAGAGTAATAGTCGTTCCATCGTTTTCTTGACTAAATGAAACTTCGTTAGATATTTTAGCACAAGTTGGTTTAATATATAATGGAATACCTTTACCACTTGGAATAGTAATTTGACTGAAATCAATATCAACTTCTTTAATTTCCCAATCAACTGGTGCCACAGCAGCACCACTTACAGATGTACAATATTCGTCTACATAATATTGTACCTTAGGTTCGGTGTTAGAAAATTTAACATAATAACTATTTCCATTTGATAAAAAACGGTAATAAGTAAGACAACTATTTAATGGAGCTCCATAAAACATATTTCCATCACTAGTATAGTTTGTAACAGCAAGGTATTCCTTCTTTTCTGCAAGAGCAATAGATACGAGTAAGAATAAAGCAAGCATTAACTGAACTTAATTTGATAAGAGATGATAGAATCTGGTGGAATAATTTCGTTTTGGTGGAAGTTTTTTTTAGGTTTTTATAATTTTTTAAAATTTTTAAGGGTTTCATAATTTTTTAATCAAATTTGAAGATTTTATTAAAAAAAAATATTCTTTTTGTATCTAAATATACATAATTCTTTTCAATAATTCTTTTTCTCAGTTCTATTCTCTCTGACATGGATCCTGTTGAGTCATTAATGATTGAAATACATTCTTTACAAGAAGAAATTGGATTTTTGCACCAAAAAATTGAGACTCTTCAGTTAGACAATTATGACTCCCGATTAACATTAATGGAAATTGAATTATCAAAAAAAACTGTTGCTTATGAAGAGTTAGAAGAAAAATATGTTCAGTCATTAGGAAAACAAAGTGTTTTATCAAAAGAAAAATCATTATTAGAAACAAAAGAAAAATATATGCTCGTTGAATACCAAAGTAAATTACAAGAACTTCAAGAATGGTGTGAAAATCTTAAACAAGAAAATAAAGCTTTGAAAAGTGGAAAAAAATTTGATAAAAAACAAAAAATAACAAAAGGTGTTATTCAACCCCAACCCCCTCAAACTATTAAAAAAGATGAGTCTGTTATTCAAAACAATAATACTCAAACAAATCCTTTCTTAGACCCTTCTTTAAATCAAGAATTAAATAATACAACACAACAACCTTCTATACAAAAAAATAAAATTGAAACAAACCCTTTCTTAGACCCATCTCTTACACAACAACCAATAACTACTCATGAAAAAACAATTGAAACTAACCCTTTTTTAGATCCTTCTTTAAATCAACAATCAACAACTCCTCTTCAAGAAAATGAAATACAAACTAATCCTTTTATTGACTCAGCAACAAAACAACAAAATCAAAATACTAATCCTTTCACTGATAATTCATCTCAAATGTTAAATCCTCTTAACAAAACTGAAAAAAAAGAAACTAACCCATTCTTAGATGAGTCATTGATAAATCAAATGACTCAACAAAATTCTACTCAACCTAAGTCAGTTTCAAAAGGTTCTTCACAAGTTAATGTCATAATTCATTCTACAAGTACAAATGAAATAAAAGAAAAAGTTCCAGAGAAAAAACAATTTGTATTAGAAAAACCACAAGTTGTTATTAAACCAGAATTTTCCAACTTTGGAGTTGATGATTCTTCATCAGATAATGAAATTATTACAAAAAGTACTAATAATCAAACAAAAGGATTTATTGAACTAAAAGAGAAAAACGAAGTATTAAAGAAAGAAAATGAAAAATTAAAATTACAACTAACAGAGTCTATTGAAAAAAATAATGAATTAGAATCTGTTATGAAAAGAAGTATTGATGACAAAACAACCATTATTCAAACATTACAAAATAATATTGTTACTTTAGAAAATCAATTAAAACAATCAACATTTAAACAAAAACAATTAGAAAGTAAGTTAGAAGATTATACAAAAGCTTCATCTGAAGAAGTAGAAGAAAATAATAAATATTTATTACTAAATGGAATTTGTGTTGCTTTAAAAATGGGGAATCCTGATTATGAAAAAACTCATTTAAGTGTTAGTACTCTTTTTGAACAAGTAAAAAATAAAAAAATACCATTATGTCAATGGCCTTTATATGTTTCTACAACATTTGATAATGAAGTTAATGAAAGAAATGAAAGTGATGTAGTTTGAATATATTATTTTATCATATTTAATCATCAATTTATCGTTTAATTTAAATGAAACAAATAAAAGAGAAAGAATACCTTATTTTAATTCAATAACTGAAATAGATGACCAACCATTTTGTATAGCTGTAGTTGTTTCTTGGTTATAAGGAATAATAGCATTTAATGAAATAGTTTTTGGAACATCAAAAAGGTCAGACATTTTACCATTATAACGAATAGAATGGTTTTTCTTAATAAATGTTCCAATTGAGAATATAGCAATTCTATCTTCTTTAATCATCATAGTTTTATTAAATGGTTTAATATAATAAGGATGAGGAATAAATGGATCATTAACTATTGAAAAAACATATTCTGAGCCATCAGAAATAGCTACACCCATTTGAGTTGGAAAAATATCATGATAAGTAGCAAATGAAGTTGGTTTATTGTTAATAGTTAGTCTAAATAACAATACTCCTTTCTTACAAGATTTAAAAACATTTAATAACCCAACAAAAGAACCACTAGTTGCATCTATTCTATAAATTACATTAGCTGATTTTGCTTGAGTAATTTTTAATATAGTTTCAATTTCAAAATTATAATTAGTAACAGGTCCTGGTTGTTGAATATGTTTTATTTTAGGTGGAACAGTATATTGAGAACAAATAGAATTATCTTCTTGTTGTTTTCTTAATGAAGGAGGGATATATGTGGTTTCATTAATTTGTTTTTGTATATTTGGATTTGAATCAATTAAATTAACACCCATATAAGATTTAATTAAAGAAAGAGTTTGAGGTGAAAAAGAGTTATATTCTTCTTCTGTACATTTAATTTGTTTTAGTCCAAGTTTTTGTAAATAAGAAAGAGTTGTTTTATTTAATGAAGAAGTATTAATACAAGAAGGAAACTTATTATTTTCAATTGATGTTTTACATGAAAGAATATCAGCACTATTAAATGAGAAATAACTTTTTAAGAAATTAATAACATCTTTATCAATATTTTCATCACAACATTTTAGAATAGCTAATTCTTTTGTTGGTATATTTAATATTTTTAAAACAAGCTGTTCTAATTCATTTATTCTTTGAATAAAGTCTGTTTGTGCAGTTTGCATTATTTACTTATTTAAAAGTGAAAAAAAGGGTTTTTTTCATTTTCTTTAAAAAAAGTTTTTTTCTATTTAAAATGTATTAAAACTATAAAAACATTACAATTTTTCTACTTCCCAGTTCGAACATAAGATTCGTATAATTTTCCTTTTGGTACATTTAAAGTAGAATTGTCTCCAAGCATTGCCATAAGAATAACATTAATTTCTACTCCAGCTTCAACAATTTCACTTTGGTCATAAGTGTTACTATCAAATTCTATTCTAATGAATCTTTCCATTTGTTCAATATCCTTTTGAGTAGCTTTACTTATTATTGTAATGCCATCATGTATTGCAAGGTCAGTAAGATAATTATGAAGATACACTTTCTTAAGATGTTCTACTTTCCTATTAGCTTGTTTAGGAGTCATTCTTTGAGAAAAATTATTATAGTCTTCTTCTGCACGTTCATTCAAAAATTGTACAACATTCATTTTGTCTTTCCCAAAATCAATTTCAATTAAATCAGGAAAACAAAAATTTACGGTCGATCTCTTTTTTGGCTTTTGAAATGAAAATGAGAATTTACGATTTAACGCCCAAATTAGAAATGACATTTGAGCCACTTCTTTTGTTTTTTTATCACGACTTTGTTTTGTTTGAATATTTTTTCCATCAAGACATTTCTGAATACCTTTTCTTGAGTGTGACTCAGAAGAGGACATCCCTTTGTTTTATAAGATTTTATCATTTCTTTTGTAGTTATTATTTTTTTTTGATTTTTTTTTCTTTATTCATCTGATAATTCAATGAACCCTCCAATACCTGATAAACAAGTCTCTGAAATTGTTACTCCATCACAAATTCAACTTATTAATCTTCGAGCATTACAAGGATTTTTTCCAATTATTGAGAGTGTAATTATGAATTGTGGAGTAGTTAGTGTGTATGAACTAAGAAGTGAAGGTGGAAAAGAAATTACTGATGTTGGTTGTCGTGGACCATTATTTTTAGTTCAAACACGACATAAAGAATTATGGTTAGTTGTTCTGAATCAATCATCATTTGGAATATATCATACAATTGTTTCAGAACAAACACAGTTTCAACAACAAGATCGTTATTTAACATTAACTCATTTAGATAATCAATGTTTAGTTCAATTTTGTTTTATTTCACAAAGTGCAAATGAAGAATGTACGAATGTAGTTAGTAGACTTAGAAGAGAATTAAGTGATAGAGTAAGATTTGGAAGACTTTTAAAACAAGCAGTGACATATTGTTCAATGTAACATCTTTGAAATGAATATTTTTGTTATTTAATGGTTATATTATTTAATAAGTATTTTTAATAGAAATTAAACTAAGAACTTAAAAATAATAAAATGGCTTCTATTCTTTACACACTTAATTTTGTTATTTGTATTATTCTTATTGTTACATTAACATTGTTATTAATTCCTATTCCTAATATTCTTAAAAAACAAATTCTTAGTTTAAGTCATTGGATTGTTAAGAAAAGAATATTTTCAATTACTTTATTAGTTATTGTTTCTATTCTGTTTATTGATGCATTTTCTAGAATGAAACATTGTGAAGGAGTTAAACAATCATTAGCATTCGATGCTCCAATTAATACACGTATTTCAACATATTCT